GTTTTATTTTATTTTTTCAAATCTCAAATTCTCCAAATTTAATAAAAGCGATCATCTTTCTCATTCAGAGGTCCCCTTGGTGGTTTTTTTGGGTCTACAACAATGCTCTTGCTTGTACCGGATTATGGTTCATCCATTGCTGCTGGCACAGGCTTAGACGGAGATGATCAATGCCACGAAACATCATCCAATGGCTGTGATTTTCTCGCCTTTTTTGTTATAATTTTAATTTTGACTTTTTTGTTAGGGTTCAGTGTTTTTATTTGGGGCTGCAATGAATAAAGAGAAAAATGTTCAGTTTTGGAAAGAAGAAGGAAAGTGGGAAAGAGGGAAAGAGAGAGAGAGAGAAAAGGGGGCCCTAAAGTGAAGCGCTAAGAACGGATCGGACGGTGGGGGTGGTCAAACTCACGTGAGCTCGTCAATATGTGGGCCCGATTATTTTAGTTTCATTTTTTATGCTATTATTTTTTATTTTACTGGAATAAAAGATCTCTTTTACTTATTTTTTATTTAATTAAATCTATGATTAAATTATCTATGTTAATTATTAATTAAAATGTTAATTGTTGACTTTAGCACTATAAATTAAGTTATATAAAATGTCAAAAAAAGTTATAATTATAGATATAAACTTAGAAATATACACCTTGTTATTATTTTATAAAATTCTTTTTACGAGAAAAACAAAAACATTCTTTGTTTTCATATAACTTATTTTCTTTCAAAATATAATTTTTGTATATATGCTTTTCTATTAATGCCCGTATGACAAAATTTGTTTTATATCTTGTACATCACATTGTAAAATTTAAAATTTAACACACGTCATCGTGACATGGCAATCTTATTTCAATTACTAAAAGAGATTAACAATGTTAATCTATATAGTATTTTTCATCAAATCAAATTATTTTTGATTCTTAAGAAATGTTATAAGAATTAATTGATTAGGATGAGAGAATATGGGCTTAAATAAGAAAATTAATTAAGTATATGGATTTATTTTATATTTTAACCATTTTTTTGAAGTATGAGTGTAAAAAAGTATATTTGATTAAATATGAAAATAATAAAATGTAATGTTAAGTAAACTACACTTTTTCTTTTCCACCAAAGTAATTTTTTTTATAGGAAATGATTATTTTTAAACCAAATTTAAAAATTAATCATTCAATAAAAAGAAGAGTTTTTGTCTAGGTAAATTCATGTAAAATATTGGATTTTAAAATGTTACAATTCAAACATTTAAATTTCAAAACTGATAGTTTAATTTAAAATTTTCATGCACTTTGATTGAGATAGGATATAGCAAAGAAAAAAAAAATTAAAGCCTAATTTTGTCTTTTTACTTTAATAATTGAAATAGAAGTAAAGGGAAAAAATGTAAAGAAAGAGAAAAGAAGAAAGGTTAAGAGAGGAAATGAAAAAAAAGAAAGAATGAAAACTGTTAGAACTTGAATTAATAGATCAGTTTACTGATAAACTGATCCATTGTTAGTTTCTTAATAGGATTAAATTTTAAGGATCAAAATTCATTAATTTTAAAAATCAAAGGTGTGTAATACAAATCAATTGAAAGTTATTTCAGTGACATATAAGATAAAGACACTTGTATATATCATGCCATTTGTGTATATTAAAATCAAATATAGATATTATGGCCATTTGTGTATATATTGTGACCATTTAATCAAATCATGACTATTTGTATATATCTTGACCATTTATTCTAAGAAATTGCATTATATAAGACATATTGTTTTGGTTATAAATTTTCATTCTTTTTAAATTGTAAGGCTTTATTTAATTGATGGAAGTTAAAAGAGAAATTAGAGGATTTAATGCTAAATTATAGCGACTAAGAGCTATGTTTATGAACCTTTTGTGCTACCACAATGAAAAAATGTCCCTTGTTATTGTATGTATAGCACAAAAAACTTAGTTTTATTATGCATAGTATAGGACATGAATTGATGCATATTGAATTCTTATAACAATAGTAACAAGAACATGGTATAGATGAATCGAGAGAACAGCAATAAGTATGATCAAACTATTACATGGCCTCTGGTGTTGCATATGTAACAAGTTAACCCATCATAGCTTGAGGTGAATCAACCAATCGACCAAGAAACTTTGCATTCTCAACATACCATTACTGTTTGCCAGAACCTGATTTAGTCAAATGGGAGTTTACAAAGAGGTTGGAGAGGAAGGACTTGTGTTATTGGTTGAGTTTAGAAAGAGGTTGAGTTTACGATATCGCCATATTGTTAATTAATGTGGTTATATGCGGTAAATTTTCTCATACGTTTAAAATCAAATTTTGTTTTTAATCTTTGAAATTTCTTGTTAATATTTTTCCCAATAAAATGATTTGTGATGTTATATTTCTTTTATATATATATATATTCTGATTTAGTTGATTAAGCATGTTGGGAAAAAATTGTTGCTGCATTTGAGGGTGGCTACAATTTGTAGATCACTATAGCACACTGTGTTTATGCTTTGTGTATCTACCTTATTATCTTGTTGAGTAATGCAATTATTGAAGGTGATCTCTCTTTAACCTCATTGAAGTTGATATTGAGATAATACAAAAGGTAATTAAGATATTGATTTTTCTGATAATCCATTATGATTTTTAATTTGTAAAATTGAAGTATATCCTTGTAAATCATTAATTTTTTTCTTTTTATTTTGAGCAGATGTCATATAATCATCCTATCCTTCGAAATATATTTTTAATCTGCATTTTAATGATCAAATGACAAGATTACATCAAAAATGAAGTTAAGATGATAAATTTGATTATTATTTCTTAAATTTATAATTCAGTAGATTGATTTTACAATATAATAATAAATTAGATCCAAATTAGATTAAGACTGCCAGGTGCAAAGGGATGCTAAAAAAGAGAGAGAGAGGAGAAAGTAGGTCAAACGGGAGTTGGAGAAGAAAGGAGGAAAGGCGGCTAGGAGAGTAACAAATTTTGAAAAGAGAATGTAAGGTTTCAATTGAGGAAGAGATGTAAGGAAAGAAACGAGACGTCATTTCTTGCCCAAGGAAAGCTTCTTCTGTTACTCCAAACGGTGTGCTTTGAAGATGCAAAATAGGCTAAGTCCATGATACTCCTTGCAGCAAGCTTTGGGTCTCAAGTTTGGGTGAAGAGAAGGTGGGCAGATCCGTGACCTTGGGCAAGCCCTAGCCTAGGCTTTGGTATGGCCCGGACACCTTTGGTTATTAAGCCTTGTGATTGATTTGTTTAACTTATAGTTTACTTTACATGCATTTGCATTGTTTGCTTTGTTGTTAGTTTCAATTAATGTATAACGTTATTGTATTTTAATATATATATATATACACACACAAATCGAGATGAACTATTTAGTTATAGGGGATAGTATATGGGTAAAAACTATAACTACATGAGAAAAATATTAAGTATGTAACTTAATAAAGCAAATGAATAATGCGTTAATGGAAAAAAATGATAATATAAAAAATATATATATGTGTGTGTGTGTTATTTGGGTTATACAAGAATAGAATATTCACCCGAGACACGAGAAATCATAGACTCGAGTTAATTTTCTTAGGCGAGAGATTAAATTAAAACCCCACCAGTATAATGGAAGGGTTTAATTTTAAATCTCAATATTCTAATCCAACTAATACCTTAGTAATATATATATATATATATATATATATAGGAAATCATTAAATAATGATAGAAACATAGGATATTTTATCCAAAAATAAAATAAAGAAGAAGTGAAATAAAGCATAAAATATTTATTACTTTGAGAAATAATAAAGTATACAATAATATGAAATAAATTATTTAGATTATACCGATGATGGGATGTTTATTTCAAATGCGAGAAGTTGTAATTTTGAATGAATTTCCTTAAGTTAGGGATTTTGATTAAACCCCACTAGTACGATGAGAAGGTCTTAATTTTGAATTCCAATGTTTCTGAGTCTAAATAAATGAAAATTATATATACTCAATTGGTCAAGATATAAACAAAAAATAAATATAATAATAAATGTAAGAGAACAAATGACATATATTTACTTAAGGTGTTAAAAGATAAATATAGAATTGTGGAAAATAATAATATTCATGATAACAAATAAATAAAGAGTAATAAAATATTCAATGATGGTAAATTCATAATAATAAAAACATTTAAAATATAAAAGATAAATATTTAGTTAAAAAAATAGATTTATAAGGGTTATTAAAAAAATAGGATATATAATAAAAAAAAGGGTGAAGTTGAATTAAAACATATATACGTAAATAATAATAACTATGAAATAAGAGATCTTGCTTAAAGGATATAGAATTTGGATAAAAAGAGAATGTATATAGTAAAGTAGATAGATACCCAAATAATATAAAAAAATATAATTCATAATATACATGCCTACAAAGAAAAATAATAAAAAGAAATCTTAAAGATATAACAAAGAAGATATAGGTAGGCATATCCCACATCACTATACCATCATTAAATGTTATGACATATATATGTATTTTATACACGAGTATATGCCCCAATGATGGGACTCTTTGAAGGATCTTGTGAAAGTGAGTTTTCCTCAAAAAATTTCCTGGGTGAAAAGATATCTTGGATCCCACTAGTACGATGGGAGGGTTATAATAATATCTTTAATAAAAAGGCTTCTACTCATATTAGGTTCTGCATTCACGAAATATATTATTTTCAAACGTGAATGACTACCCTGATGATAAGATTTATTTGTTAAATTTGCGAAGGTGAGCTTCTCGTACAATTTTCTAGGCGAGAGAATATCCCCGAATCCCACCAGTATAATAGGTGGATTCAGGAAATATCCTCAATAAAAGGTTTTCATTTGGCATCAATCGGATTTTTATACCATGCATTTCATAATTACATCATGTGCACGTCACACCCGTAAAACTAAACAAAATATCTTAATTAGTTAATAAAAT